GCCATCAATTTGCTCTTACTGGAGCACCAACCCAATCTGTTCTAGTCCAGTGTACTCTCAAACCATGTCTAGAACAAGATTTGAGCTGCTGCTGAGATACTTACATTTCAATGACAATACCCTCTGTCACCCCAGAGATCACACCCAATATGATAGGCTTCATAAAATACATCCACTGGTAGACCATCTTCAGCACAAATTTACTGAAGTTTATACTCCTCAAAAAAATGTATCTATTGATGAATCGTTAATGAAATATAATGGGAGATTAGGATTCAAACAATACATCCTCTCAAAGCGCTTTAGGTATGGCGTAAAATTCTACAAACTGTGCGAGAGCGAAAGTGGCTATACATTTGCCTTTCGTATATATGAGGGGAAGATGGTCAACTGGAGATTATATAAATAATGGTATGTAAAGAAAGCCCCTTTTGTCCTGAAAAAAACAATATATAATTTGTATGGGAACAGTAAATGAGAGAGCGGAAAATTACAGCTAAACACAAACACCAGAAAAGTGTAAAAAGAGGCCTGGTCGCAAATGTACAACATCGCAAAAACAGTCCAGTCCTTAAGGGGTTAAACAGTTTTCAATACACATTGACTATTTACAAATTTATGTTTAGTAACAAAACTTAAAATTATTTGTTGAGTTTAAGTTTATTATTATTAATATTTAAAAAGTGACAACAAATTCTGCAGAGCTGTACAACAGACAAGTATCATAGGCGTGCGCACGGGGTGTGCCGGGTGTGCCTGGGCACACCCTAATCCCTGCGGCACGCCTCTGTATTGAGTCCTGCAGGAACACTTTTTTTTGAGAAGGAACGCTGTTCCTGCAGGCACTCAGTGCCTCCAAATGCCCCCTTCCTCCCCCGTGTTTCCCCAGAGGTGTGTGTCTGTAAGTGTGTGTCTGTGAGTTTATGTGTGTGTGTCTATAAGTGTGTGTGTGTGTGTCTGTGAGTGTCTGTGTGTGTGTCTGTAAGTGTGTGTCTGTGAGTGTGTGTCTGTAAGTGTGTGTGTGTCTGTGAGTGTATGTGTGTGTGTCTGTAAGTGTGTATGTGTCTGTGAGTGTATGTGTGTGTGTCTGTAAGTGTATGTGTGTGTGTCTGTGAGTTTATGTGTGTGTGTCTGTGAGTGTGTGAGTGTGTCTGTGAGTGTATGTGAGTGTATGGGCATGTGTATGTAAGTGTGTGTGTCTGTGAGTGTGTGTGTGTGTTTGCGAATGTGTGTGTGTGTCTATGAGTGTATGTGTGTATGTATGTCTGTGAATGTATGTGTGTGTGTCTTTGAGTGTATGTGTCTGAGTATGTGTGTGCACGTGTATATATATGTGTGTGTCACAGGTGCCTCATCCCAGGGCCCTATTTAGCCTTGTACTGCAGAGAGCCCCAGATGGAATTTTTTTCCTCAAGTAAGTGGTTAATCTCATAAGAGCAGACATTAGGCTGTTAGTGTAGGACCTGCCAAAGATGGGGTACATTGACGTTGTGTGCAGGCTGTATGCAATGTATGATCATATAATGTAACTAAACCCCCATTATTTTTTGCCTAGATTAGGTGTTTTTAAGTTGCTGTTTAGTGGATAGGTGAGTGCGCTGGATCTTGTGTATTGTGTTATTTGGCCCCCAGCAGCACCCCCACTTATGCATGTTTAGGTGAGTGCAGCCAACCCCCCCTTGTTTCATATATATATATGTGTGTGTCTGTGTGTCAGTGTGTGTGCGCACGCGTATATATATATATATATATATATACATATATATACACACACACATACGTGTATATTATTTTTTGGGGGGGGTGAGAATCTTGGGAGAGTTCCCACACTTTATTCCCCAGGACTTCTCTGGAGATCTCCGGATGTCCCCTGTCGGCTCACGCAGAGTCTGCGCTATCTGAGTGCCGGCTCTGCTCTAAGCCTCCATGGGCTTGCGGGGAGATCAAAGATCTACCTCACCAGCCCACAGCAGCATGGAGGGAGGCAGGAGAGGACCCAGGGAGCGCTAGACAGCAGCTCCGCCAGGTTCCTCTTACGAGATCTGAGCATTGCCATGGCAACACTCAGATCTCGAGAGAGTTAACTCTAGCCCCGCAGGTTAGAGTCCACTCTCCACTGGACCACCAGGGATGGCACATGGCAGCAAGGATTCCTGCTCCCTACATAAGGTAAGAAGGGAGGGGGGATATTTACTAATCTGCCCCCACCTCCACAATCCCTCCAAACATACAGCACACACACACACATACAGCACCCACACACATACAGCACCCTCACACAAACAGCACCCACACAAATACAGTACACATACAGCACCCTCACACACACAGCATGCTCACACACACAGTACACTAACCGCACCCTCATAAACACACACAGCACCTTTACAAACACACAACACCCTCACACACAGCACACTAACTGCACCCTCACTAACACACACAAACAGCACCCTCACAAATACACGACACCCTCACACAGCACAGTAACAGGACCTTTACAAGCACACACAGACACAAACACCCTCACACGCAGCACACTACCAGCACCCTCACACACAAACAGCACCTACACAAACACCCTCACCCACATAGCACACTACCAGCACCCTCACATACACATCACACACTAACAGCACCCTCACACAGCACACACACACACACACAGCAGTGTATGTGTGTATATAAATATATGTGTATGTGTGTGTATATATATATATATATATGTGTGTGTGTGTGTGTGTGTATGTATGTGTGTATGTTGGGGATGGTGGTCAGGGGTGTATATCTGGCACCCAGACTTTTGCACAGCCACTATCCTGACATGTGGGTAAGCACATGCAGCCCCAGGGAAAGTTAAGTTTAAATTTAGGTTTTTTCCTCTGTTGTTATTTGGGTCCCTGGGGTGGAGTATTCGGAAGAGCAGGGTGGGCCGATTCTCCACCCACTGTCTGAGTGGTTGTGCATGAGTCCAGCCCAGATTTTCCATAGAGTTCTGGCTCACTGCCTAACGAGGTCATTAGCCTCACCTGTAGGGGCTGTGAGCAGCTATATAACTGCAGTTAAAGCAGGGTGAAGTGAGGGAAGTGTTTTGGAGGAGAAAGAAGGTGTTTTTGTGGAGAAAGAAGATTTGCTGTTCATTGTATCCTGTTATTTCACAACAACAGAAAATAAACAGGCCAGAGGCCTTTTTGAAACTGGACTTTGTCTTGACCTGGTTTTCTTACCCTAGAGGGCTGTGCGGTTGCCAAAAGATCCTGGACAAACACACACAGGAAAGTAAGTTTGTCACTATATATATATATATATATATATATATATATTTATTTGTGTGTATATATATTACATACATACACATGTGACGTGTGTTTGTTCTTTAGGGTGCACACCCTAATGCAATAGGCTGCGCACGCCTATGACAAGTATTTGTAATGCACAGGAACAGACAAGTATTTGTCGCACAGGAACAGATGGTGTTGAAGGCCCTGCTCAAATTAGCTTACATGCTACAGGGAGTGGGGTAAAGAGACACAAAAGTCAAGGGTAGGGATAGACAAGTACGTTGCTAGAATAGTTTTCAATGAGGGCTTAGTTTTTTGGATTTTGTTTTGGATTATACAGTTACAGAAGAGAAAGCAAGGTGCGGGGAAGAAAAGCTATTGACAGTTTGTTTGATATGCTTACCTGAATAAGTGAGTTTTCAATGATTTTTGAAGGAATGGAGAGAAATGGGTGAAAGCCTAACAGAGCAGGAAAGGGAGTTCCATAGGTGCAACTCTAGTGAAGTCTTGAAGGTGAGCATCAGAGATAGATGAATAATTTCACTACACCTACAACTCTTTTGTCTCAAATGATATGTCACGTTTGTATATCATTGTATATGTCACGTTTTTATAACTAGAATAAATAGTTTATTAACAAACAATATTGTCAAGAGTTATCAGGCACGACAAGCAGGGACGTATTAGCCGCGAGGCAAACAAGACATTTGCCTTGGGTGGCATTTTCCAAGGGGCGGACTGACAAGGTGGGTGGGCGGCACTGGCGAGGGAGCACTTTTCCTTTGGCGCTCTGCTCAGCTCCCTTGCGCGCCACAGAGTGATGTCGGTCACCTGGAGCCGGAATATGACGTCATATTCCAGCTCTTGGCATCACTCTGCGGCACGAGAGGGAGCTGAGCAGAGAGCTCAGGGGAAAGTTCTCCCTCGCCAACGCTGCCCACCCACCTGCCCAACTAGACCACAGGGAGAGGGAGAACCCCCTAGCATTCCCAAAGGGCAGCACAAAACCAGGATACACCACTGATGACAAGCCTACTTTCAAATCTCACTAAAGTACAAAAAAAAAAGAAAAACGAGCCCCCAGAAATTAACCAAAACATCTATAGATTCTATATGCTTTTTTTTAAAATCAGAAATGCATGTAGCTCCCTCTAGATCTTCACTGTGTCAGATTTAGAAAATATAAAATTCAAAAGTGTTTTAGTTTTTTAAATTTAGAAGTTAGGTAATAATGGCCATACGGTGACTGACTACGAAGCCATTTTCAAAAATGCAAGGTCACAGGTTTGAATCCTGGCAGAGTTAACTCAGCACTTCATCTTTCTGAGGTTGATAAACTGAGTACCATCAATTAGTGGGTAATAATAACATATATTACTACTCAGCTGCCAATGTGGTTAAATTATTATAATGTGGGGGCAATATTAAGCTACTTATGTTATGTTTCAGTCCAGCATGGAACAAAGTAAAAACAATTAATCAAAAAATTTAAAATACTCGACATGGTGACTTACAATCAGAGGTCACGTATGGCTCACATCAGAGCAGAAAACAGACATTGGTGAGTACGCAATTTAGTATATTGACCCTAAAAAGGTGCAATGCAGTGGCAGAGAATATTGGGAAAGAAAAGGCGCTAGGATAACATTGCCTCATTTTTACTCTAGAAATAACATTAAAAAAAATAAACAAATGCATAGAACATATAGCCAAAATTTGCTAAAGAATTTTATTATAATGCTAAATGTACATGACATCCTACCACTTCACAAGTGAGAAAAATAATATCATCTCAAAATGTGTAAAGGTGCAATTTTTTTTTTTTTTTTATTGAAATGTTTAAAAATGTTGTTTAAAAAATATTTAATTAGATCAGGAGCGTATTTTTAGTACATATTGGCCACTCTACGGCTATTAGTATTACCCAGCTATAACATGTGTACTTATTGCGCGGAGTTAACTTAGCGATTGTTAGCATGTTATACTCTGTAAATATTAAATGTGCAACTCCTCAGATATGCCACTGAAAGTTTTGATATTGCCTACAGTAGCTGTCGTGGCACTGTAAGCATGTATGTATCCAAATGCACAAGAAAAATAAAGAATTATACAAAATAAAAAATAAATGTAATTAGGAAATTCTTCTCATTATCGTGAAAAGATGTGATTTTGAATATATTTTTGTGCTTATTAAAAAAACATAGTCAACTTTATTTGCTGAACTTGGAATTGTCAGGAATTAACAAGAGAATTTGAAAATGTTCTGCCAAAGTATCCAAACTGAAATAACTCCCTCAGCTCTGAAACTTTTGTCTAAAATGATAATGAATCTCCTTGTAAATGCCAAACAATTCCAAAGTTTCTGAATAAAGCCGACATCTGTTATGTGAATATATCTTTTTGCTGCCTTGGCGTTATACAATACAATCAATGAGTAATATGTGACGATGTTTTCTAGATATAGTTTCAGTATAGTGTAATATAGTATTACTATAGTGTAAGGAAGTATTACTTTACTGAGAGGGTAGTGGATGCATGGAACAGCCTTCCAGCTGAAGTGGTAGAGGTTAACACAGTAAAGGAGTTTAAGCATGCGTGGGTTAGGCATAAGGCTATCCTAGCTATAAGATAAGGCCAGGGACTAATAAAGGTATTTAGAAAATTGGAATGGTTCTTATCTGCCGTCACATTCTATGTTTCAACGTTTCTATATAGTTACAGATCTGGCTTTAAATGTATACAAAATAAATTGCAGAAAGGATGGCAAAAATACTCAATATTTTCAGAAGGAATGAGATGGGAGATTTGTGCTTTGTCATATCATCATCTAAGACACGGGTTTTAGTTGGTTTGATGATGCGATCGCGTTGTGAAAGTATGGCTTTCCTTGCACCAGGCCATTTTCCATCTCCGGTGAGACGGTACTGGTAAGGTGTGCAAGGACCAAAGAATAGCTCCCAGGCCAGTTTAGGGTCTGTAAACAGGAATCGCAGTACATTGGGCTTTACACAAATCTGAGAGGCAAGTTCATCCAAATATTCCAGAAAGTCAACTTGGATGGTGTGTCGTGGGCTCTCCACATACCTTAAAAAAAACAAAAAAACTGTTCATGATCTGTTCATTGAATAATATTTACATGCATTGTGGGATTGGATAAAGGTAACAATTTAATTAAGCAATTAAATACAATATAACAAGAGTGGCTATTGTGACCTATATGAAAACACCTAGATGAACATGTCTAGCCAGGGTTTGGGATAGTTGGAATTTAGGATTCTATAACTCAAGTCCCGGTTTAAATGTGTACCCATCATGCTTTTGACCAGTTAGTTTAACATATGCTAAAAGGCACACAGGTTGTAGTTTACTATTTTTAGATAAGCGTTCGAATGGATTTAATATGTATGTATACACTTTTAAAATGATTTACTATAATGACAAATGTTTTAATTTTATTATATTTTCATAGTTTGTGATACATTAATATAACTGATACATGATCCATTTTTTTGATACTTTTACAAAATTATTTTAAACATTTATCCAAAAATGTTAAATCATTTAGAAAGCGTATCCAAACATTTTAAGTGGTGGCCATATTTGTGATAAATTTGGAAAAAAATGATAATCCATGTTAATTCCCCAATATCAGCATCAGACTCGAGTATGTTCTCATGGCTGAATGGAAGCAAGCACCCTAAGCAATATTTCAAAATCTAGTTGAATTCTTTCCCAGAAGAATTAATGCTGTTTTATCAGCAGATCGGTAGTAACTCTAGGTTTGATTTTTGTTACTTGGCGAAAATCTTACCGACACTCCAGCTCTCTTTTTTTTATGGCTATATCTGCCAGCATATCATCTTTTGAAGGGAGTTTGCACAGTCCTAATAAACAAAATCAGACAAGTCAATGCAGACTAATAGAGATACAGTTTTTGTTGTGTTTGCTGATTGTTCTATTGTTGCTATCATTTTAAGAACTCTACGATAACAGCTCAATAGGGTGAATTACAGAAAATATTGAAATGGATATTCTGGGTGGACATATGCAAATTAGTTGCAGCCCATCCTGGGCAGGGCATCACAGGCTGCATTACGGGCAGAGGTATCTGGCGACCACAGCCTCCACCCCTGGAATCTGGTCTTACCAGCAATCCACTCCTGCTAGCCACACAGCTGTAGCTGCTTCGTTTACTCTGTAGCTTTAACTATTGTCCATGTAGTGTGTATGTATTGTGATTTGTACTGACATAACTGACCACTTACTACTGCGATTCAGCCTTTATACACAGATTGAGCATAGTGACTTAACTTGGAAATGTATGTTTGAAAACATGATTTCTTTCGAGACCATAGTCTGGCGTACCTCACTTGCATAAACTCACAGTCCCATATACCCAGATTACTCTCCATGTCCAGAAATATAGTTATGTGATTTGCATAGCCATGCCTGCCTAGCCAGTTTACCCTTTCTTTTTTGATAAATAAATAAATAATGCTGTTTACATGGGAGTTAACTCAACTCTACAATCAGTTTGTACTCTCTTGCTACGTATACATCTGTCTTAACTCTGATTTTCTTTTTTCTGTTATGCTGAATTCATGCTTCAATTAAAAGAATCAATCCTCATTCTATTTTATAGTGATATATATCATTTTCACTGTGAGTTATTAAAACACAACAGAATATTTTGATGAAAAATGTATTTGAAAGCAACTCTAAGTGAGAAAGCAGAATAGAGGAAATAATTTTTTGTTGCCTCCGCACCTTTGAAAACTCTTGTGGCCCATCGAGCTTGAAGTTCTGAAAGGGGCATGATGGCCCCAATGGGCTGAATGAGGCCAATACATGCTACCGTAGTCTTCTCCAAAACTGGTGGAAACACCATCTTGTATAGTGGAATCTTGTTATTTACCACTTTGAGGGCTGGGTCATCGAAAAATGGAAAAGAGAAACTGTATCCGGTGGCAAAGAATACTGCATCAATATTTTTTTCCACTGTTCCGTCTTCGAATATTGCATCTGTTTCTGTGAATTCCTTAACATTGCATTTCATTAGTACTTTTCCTGCAATTATACGATTCGGCAAGTCATCATTGATAGTTGGATGTTGACTGGAAATTCTGTAAAAGAAGAAAATAAGGATGGAGACAAATTATTACGTAATTTATATTGTTTGCTCAGTGAAGCTTGCTTGCGTGTGACAGAAATTACAGGTCATAGTAAGTCCCTCCTTAACCATTAGCATACATAACTCCAGATTGTTACACAGGACTAATACATGAGGTTACATAGCTATAGCATGTGTCATTATAGAGCACACTCAATGGACACTTTATATTTTAAGTAGTTATGTAATAGCTCTATACTCTTTTAATTGAAACTACTTTTCATACTTTTTTTATTGTCCACCTTTTCATAGTCAATTCAAACTTTGATTCGAATGTTGAAAGAAAGTTTGCTAAAGCAATTTTGTCAGGTTTATTCTGTTTCAAATCAGCTTATTCTGAACTCAGTAGTCAGCTGGATATAATTGGGACTTGGAATTTCTCAGTCTTTAGAGAGTTAATGCTGGTTTCGTAGATGGATAATCTGCATTATCAGATGCAATTTGAGCAGATCCACACTGTACCTATGCTTGGGTTTTATTCCATAATTTTCATGATTGAATCGTGCATTCATCTTTTTCTCTGCCCAGTTGTTCAGCATTTCTGTTGTCATAAATTGTTTCAGGAGCAATCTGTATCGACTGTAGAGGACCACGTCCAGTGGAAAACCTTCATCACAGACACGGTTAACAACCCATGCTCCCCTTCTGGTGCTTAGATAGACCTATGAAGGACAAGATTATTAAGCAAAGTGTGAAAGATATTTACAAGAAAATCAAATTAAGAGAACTGTGGAACGCGACATAACATGGAATGCACTATTACATCTATTTTAAGGAAGGAAAAAGTAGGGGTTAAGGATCATTGGTCAATAAGGTGCCCCAGTGGGTCATGTGCATCTAGATGGGAGATGGATTGGGTCATTCATTGACATTCTACTTTGACTAGTCTTTCCCACTGGTGTCACTAATTGGCTGATGCCAGAATTGAGTATATCAAAGACATGAAGACAGGGCTATCTGAACTAATATTGACATAGCTAGTGGCAGTCTCCCTGTTGCTATTTTAATGCTTGTGTATATAACGGCAGACTTATTCACAGACCTATATTAATCCTATGTAGGGTGTCAATTTTTGTTTTGTTTTGACAATTGTATTTTTGTATATATTTTGGTCTTTACGGCAGCACAACTACTTAAAAATACATATGATCTGGGTGTTCCCCAAATTCCCATTTTTTTCTCTGTAGATCTGGAATCCAGACCAGATTACTATTGGACTGGGCACCCCACCCATCCACAATAGGTGCCCCTTTGGAGGTGACCATAGGAAAGCATAAATTGAGGAGTCGTCGGAAGCAGTTTAAGCTGTAAGTATTGCAAGTTAGTATTTAAATTTCCTGTGTTAAAACTAGTGTAGGACCCACCGATATTGGGGTACTGTGAATAAGTGATGGGCTTAACAAAATATGGCCATATGGTGGAACTGAATACCCATATTTGTTCGCTAAGATAGGTGATTTTAAATAGCCTTGTAAAATCTAAAGCTGTATTTTTGTCTTTGTGTGTGCGCAATTCCTTTAACTGTAATTTTAGTTTATTTACCTTACACACCAAATGTACATAAGTTAAATGCTGAACTAGAACTGAGTCTTAATATAATTAAAGTCAAAGATTGGCTTAAAATAGTTATGTATATATTACCTGTTTTGCAACAGAACTGATCTCTACAGCCAGGTCACCTCCAGAATTTCCAATGCCAATGACGATAACCCTTTTGTCCTGAAATGCTTGTGGGTTCTTATAGTCCCGACTGTGGAAATATTGGCCTTTGAACTTCTCTATGCCTGCCAGCACAAAAGAATATCAATCAAATATTTAATGAGGGAAAATGCTTTTTTCAGATATGTCTTGGCTGCGGTAAAGATGGTTTGGTAACCTCAGGTACTTATCAAAGGTGCTCATTCTTTTCAAATCTCAAGAACTGACCCAACTGGGACTAAACCTGCAACCCTTAGGTTTGAATAGATTGTATTAGTTCAGATTGAGGCACCTCGGCAACTAAGTCCTTCTGACTTGTTAACCTCTACCCCAGGCCTGTCCAACCTGCGGCCCCCCAGATGTTGCTGAACTACAACTCCCATGATTCTTTCAATGAAACAGATACCCCGTAAATCATGGGAGTTGTAGTTCAGCTACATCTCGGGGGGTTGCAGGTTGGACAGCACTGCTCTACCCATTTAACATGCCCTGTTTAAAACCTGCTGCATATCTAGTCATCAATAAAGAAGAGAATGTAAACTTCAGATATTATAATGATGGAAATAGGTTTTGTTTTAACACACACTTATCAGAAGTTCTTATAATGCCACCCGACCTCACCTGCCCCTATGGACAAGCCTCCACTGGCCTTCATCTTCAGCTCTGAGCCTTTTCTTACAAAATGGCAGTCTATGATGTACAGCTGGATGATCTTCTATAAATAATCTCATACATGTGATACCATAGGCCTCTTTTGCACATATCATAAGAATATGAACAAAGATTGATTATGCAAGATGTGGTGGCCATAGCTGCCTGATGCTCTGCACTTTCTTTTTCTTTTCTACTGTATTCAATGTGTATCTTTATGAAAATCACTGAAATGACAGCAACACTTTAATTATATTAAAATAGAGACTGGGGGATTGGTATTACATATTCTACAAAGGCCTGGTTCAATCAAACCTTAGAAAAGTCAAGTGCCTTGCTTCATAAATCCATCATGAGAATTTCAGGGTACTATATATTTATTCTCACCTCCGGCCTCATTTAATGATGTCACTGATAACAAAGAGTCAGTGAGTGCAGGTTAGTGTTCCTCCTGTAAACAGTGCATATCAAGGAGGTTCCAGGCAGCATCATACCCAGAGGGGGTTAAACCATCAATGAATGATTTAACCCCAAACCTGTCCCCCCCAAATGGTGTAACTCCCGATTGGCTAAGTTGTAATAATTTTTTTAGGAACCCTGTTTCCATCATAAGGGATAGCAAAAAAAAAGAAGTGTTTAATTTTATTTTGTAATAGTATCTGTTTTTATTCCACGAGATCAAAAACTATAGCATAAAAAATAAAACATAAGCTTTGTGTAACATTTGTGAAATTAAATAGTGTATATGGCTAATTAGTAGCATCAATTTCCACCATTTGCATAATTTTTTAAATATTAGCTTAACAAAGGAAAATCACCTAGAATTTAAAAAAATAAATACATTTCTTTCATGTCATGCACTATGTTTTTTTTTTAACATGTGTATTATACATTTAGCAATTGACATTAGAATCCAGTGCTATCCAAGAACAGGCAGAACAGATATTTCATCTGATGAAGAAACATTGGGGGAATTTATGAAAGTGATCTGAAAAATGTCATATTGAGGGATTCAATATTCTGTTACAGTTACTTGGTGTCGTAAATAAGATAAAACCCACCCCTCATCCTCATTAAATATACTTTGTTCAATTACAGCAGAAGTTAAAACAATGATTAAGAGGGAGCCAAGGTAGCAGCGCCCAGTTCTAGGATAGAGTTTAATACCACACTGTGAATATCTTCATTTAATCTTATTTTTATAAATTCACATGCACATATTTGTTAAATATAACTTAGTAGTATACATATTAAAATATTAATACCTTTGTGATTCTTTTTTCAAAGTTCTATATAATACAATAAATAAAAATCAGATACTTAAAAAAAAAAAAGAATATCCATTTAAAATTAAAATAAAATATATCATTTCTGTGCATAATAGTACATGTCTCATACCTGGAAATGAATGCAATGGTAAATGTGGGAAAGTGTGATGTCCGCTACAGATCAGAATGCCATCAAATATATGTGATTCCTTCTTCCCGTCACATTCCGTCACAACATCCCATTGTCCGGTGGTAGCAAAATCAGGATGTCTCCTTACACTGCAAACAGACGTCTAAAAGAGATTCCTTTAAATTGATGGTATAGCACCATAAACACATTTGTCAAGAATACATTGTGGATAGGGAGCAACAGACAATGTCACACATCTCAGTGGGCATTGTAAGTGGTCACTCTTAATCTAAAGATATGTATGTAGTTGCAATAACAATACGATTTCAAGGAGTTAAAGTCACAGACGGTAAGCTATTAAGTTCAGGAAAGGGTGTATATTGTTTAAAAGGACACTTTAGGCACTATGCCCATTTCATCTAATTGAATTGGTTATAGTTCCTGGAGAACTCTGGCACTGTCCTTCCAGTGTTAACTGTTTTGGAGTAGTTTAACACTGAACAAGGATCCCTGGACACCCACAGCCCAGCTGCTACTAGAGATATGTCTAAGGCAGAGATTACACGTTTCCTTGCCACCAAACCAATTTAGTAAGTGTGTAGTGATAGACTGAGAGTAAAACTCTCGTCCAATCACAGACAATCACAGACACCCATTACGACACATAATGCTTCCTCATTAGTCTCAACAGCAGAGACTCTTTTTTTAGAATTAAACATTAAAACCATTTTATTGCTGAATGTAAAAATGGTGCCAAAGGACTCCAGACACTATAACCACTTCAATGGCATAAAGCAGTTACATTGCCTACAATGTCCCTTTAAGAAGAACACAGGTTCCATTTACAACACAACTGGAGTCTCACACTCAAGACACTAGTGCTCTATGATCTTTGATGATTTCCAGTAATGGCTGATAATTACGTCCCCAAGTAGTGAGGCTCCAGTAACTCACAGCCTTAATGAATTCATGCCGACTGAAGTTCCTTTATGTTGAATAAAATGTAGCTGTATAATCACATAATGTAATGTCACATACTCATTACACTAACATTACGGCTGCTACATGTTCAGTCACTCCCATCCTAATTGTATTCTGGTTGTATCCTTTTCTGAAAGCTTCTATTTCTGCAATTACCTGATGTGACCCTGTGTGTTACATAATGAACCCTTAATTAATAGTAAACAGTTATCTTCTCCTTATACCTGCATAACAACAATCCAATACCCATACCCTTACTTGCAGCCAAAAATTTTTTACAGGACCAAACGTATTCCTGCATAAATCTGATTTCCCCAATGACACAAAAAAAAAAAAAATACATACGAGCCAAGAAAGCTGTCTTGCACTAGCGTGTAAAACATAACTGGAAGCCTTAGTGTGCTTTGTGCTGGCTGTACTTCAAAACAAACATCCTGTAGGCTATTCAGGTATGTTCAAGGTATGAATACTATTGCAAAAAGAGCTCTATTATATAGATATCTGAGCGAAAAGCAATTAAATTTAATATTTTTACAAGAAACTCACTGGAGGCAAACAGATAAACAGAACTGGGGAGGTAAAAGATTTCCGCTTATAATTCAAGCTTCTAACAAGGATAAAAAAAAATGCGGAGTAGCTGTTATATTTGGAGAAAAAAAATCAAGGTTGAAATAATTTACCAGATGCAAGATATTAAAGGCAGATATTTGATAATAATATGTAAAATTGATTCCACACGTTTTACATTATGTAATATATACCTTCCAAATTGTTCACCGGTTTCCTATTTAAAAACAATACTGGAAAAAGTAGATGAAATTAAAGTGGGAAAGTTAATATTAGCAGGGGATTTTAATGCTGTACTAGACCCACAGATAGATAAAAAACTAATGAAAGGAAACAAGTTAAATCAAATGGTGATAAAACAAGCCAAAGCTTTAAAAAAGATTAAAGATGAGTATAATTTGTTTGATATCTGTAGAATTTATAATCCCAATGAGAGAGATTACACACATTTCTCTAAAGTTCATTTTTCCTATTCAAGATTGGATATGATTTGGGTAGATCCAAGTATTATTGATATGATTAAAAAAACAAATATTAACGAAATAGTGTGGACGGATCATAATGGGGTGTTCTGTGAAATAGCCTTTCGTATAGTTAAAGGAGAATCTTTCACTTGGCACCTGAACAATAATTTGCTCTGTTCTAAAACAAATAAAATCTATATAGAAAATAATATAAAAAATTATTTTAAAGAAAATACTTCAGAAAACATTGATCCATCTATTTTGTGGTGTGCCTTTAAGGCTGTGATAAGAGGTCATTTTGTTAAATTACAAAGTCAACTTGACAAGAATATTACTCTATCCTATTTATATACTGAATTAAGAAATATGTTAACAAACAATCTCCATCCCCTGAAATTTATGAGAAGATATTAGATTTGAAAGAAAATATAAAGCAAAAATTAATATTAAGAACAGCCAAAAATATGGATAGATTAAAACTCAAATATTATTCTAAAGGCAATCGAGCTGATAAAATGCTATCTCAAAAACTTAGAAAACAGAAAGGACAGAATAAAGTGGAAAAACTAATATATAATGGAAAATGGTAACAACTCCTAGAGAAATAGGAAAATGCTTTAATGAATTCTATAGTAATTTATATAGTTTATTTCAAACTACTACAGATGATGATATCAATAAATACTTGAAAACTATAAATAAGTTTCAATTAACAACAATTGAAAATGAACTCTTAGATAAATCGATAACTGCGGATGAGATTATGAAAGCCATAAATGAGCTAGAAAGATCAAAGACACCAGGCCCTGATGGATTTAATAATTTATTTTATAAAACATTTAAAGATCTACTATGTCCTTATTTGACTAATGCCTTTAATACAGCGGCAAATAGAGTATTTTTGCCAGCAGAGATGCTGAAGGCTAACATTTTGCCAATTTAAAAAAATGATAAAAATCCTACTGATGTTAAAAATTATTGTCCAATATCTTTGATAGATGTAGATACTAAGTTATACGCTTCAGTTCTAGCTGTTAGAATAAAGAAACTTCTTCCACTAATTATCCATAAAGATCGAAAAGGGTATGTTCCAGGCAGAAATTCTTATACAAGTGTGAGGAGAATTGTAAATATCTTAGATGATGCAAATAGAAATGAGATTCCAGTTTTGACTCTGTCGATTGATGCTGAAAAAGCATTCAACAGAGTCAACTGGAAATATTTAGAAGCTGTTTTATCACACTATGGATTAGAAGGTTGGATAAAGAAAGCCATTATGGCTCTTTATGTAAACCCAGTTGCACGTACTATTGGACCTAATATTGTTGCTCCGTGGTTCCAACTTAAAAATGGGACTTGGGCTAGAATGGGAGAAAAAATGGGAGAGTAAAACTCTCGTCCAATCACAGACAATCACAGACACCCATTACGACACATAATGCTTCCTCATTAGTCTCAACAGCAGAGACTCTTTTTTTCAGAATTAAACATTAAAACCATTTTATTGCTGAATGTAAGAATGGTGCCAAAGGACTCCAGACACTATAACCACTTCAATGGCATAAAGCAGTTACATTGCCTACAATGTCCCTTTAAGAAGAACACAGGTTCCATTTACAACACAACTGGAGTCTCACACTCAAGACACTAGTGCTCTATGATCTTTGATGATTTCCAGTAATGGCTGATAATTACGTCCCCAAGTAGTGAGGCTCCAGTAACTCACAGCCTTAATGAATTCATGCCGACTGAAGTTCCTTTATGTTGAATAAAATGTAGCTGTATAATCACATAATGTAATGTCACATACTCATTACACTAACATTACGGCTGCTACATGTTCAGTCACTCCCATCCTAATTGTATTCTGGTTGTATCCTTTTCTGAAAGCTTGTATTTCTGCAATTACCTGATGTGACCCTGTGTGTTACATAATCAACCCTTAATAGTAAACAGTCATCTTCTCCTTATACCTGCATAACAACAATCCAATACCCATACCCTTACTTGCAGCCAAGCATTTTTTACAGGACCAAACGTATTCCTACATAAATCTGATTTCCCCAATGACACCACCAAAAAAAAATACATACGAGCCAAAACAAACATCCTGTAAGCTATTCAGTCCATTTGCAAAGATATTCAACATGTGTACATGTGGACTTTGCAACAGGAAAAAAATCAATGAAATCATAGGCATGCGCAGCCTATTGCATTAGGGTGTGCACCCTAAAGCACAAACACACGTCGCATGTGTATATATGTATTATATATATATATACATATATATATATATATATATATGTATATATATATATATATATATACACACACACATACACTGCAATGTGTGTGTGTGTGCTGTGTGAGGGTGCTGTTAGTGTGTGATGTGTATGTGATGTGCTGGTAGTGTGCTATGCGGGTGAGGGTGTTTGTGTGGGTGCTGTTTGTGTGTGAGGGTGCTGGTAGTGTGCTGTGTGTGAGGGTGTTTGTGTGTGTGTGTGTGTGTTTGTTAGGGTGCCATTTGTGTGATGTGTGTGGGTGTCGTGTATTTGTGAGGGTGCTGTTTGTGTGTGTGTGTGTGTGTTAGTGTGCTGTATGTGAGGGTGTTTGTGTGTGTGTGTGTGTGTGTTTGTTAGGGTCCTGTTACTGTGCTGTGTGAGGGTACTGTGTGTGTGAGGGTGCTGTTTGTGTGATGTGTGCGTGTGTTTGATGGTGCCGTTTGTGTGATGTGTGTGGGTGTCGTGTGTTTGTGAGGGTGATGTTTGTGTGTGTGTGTTAGTGAGGGTGCTGTTAGTGTGCTGTGTGTGAGGGTGTTGTGTGTTTGTAAAGGTGCTGTGTGTGTTTGTGTGTGGGTGCTGTATGTGTGTGTGCGTGCTGTATGTTTGGAGGGATTGTGGAGGTGGGGGCAGATTAGTAAATATCCCCCCTCCCTTCTTACCTTATGTTGGGAGCGGGATCCTTGCTGCCATGTGCCATCCCTGGTGGTCCAGTGGAGAGTGAACTCTAGCCTGTGGGGCTAGAGTTAACTCTCTCGAGATCTGAGCGTTGCCATGGCAATGCTCAGATCTCGTGAGATGAACCTGGCGGAGCTGCTGTCTAGAGCTCCCCGGGTCCTCTCCTGCCTCCCTGCATGCTGCTGTGGGCTGGTGAGGTAGATCTTTGATCTCCCCGCCAGCCCATGGAGGCTTAGAGATCTCCAGAGAAGTCCTGGGGAATAAAGTGTGGGAACTCTCCCAAGATTCCCACCCCCCCAAAAAAAATAATATACACGTGTGTGTGTGTGTGTGTGTATATATACGCGTGCGCACACACACTGACACACACATATATATACATGTACACACACATACTCAGACACACACACATACACTCACAGGCACACACACATACATTCACAGACATACATACACACATACACTCACAGACACACACACATTCGCAAACACACACACACTCACAGAAACACACACTTACATACACACACCCAACAACTCACATACACTCACAGACTTACACACTTACAGACACACACACATAAACTCACAGACACACACGCACACTTACAGACACACACACACACACTTACAGACACACACACATACACACTTACAGACACACACACATACACTCACAGACACACACACACTTACAGACAAATACACTCACAGACACACACACACACACTCACAGACACACACACACATACACTCACAGACACACACACACTTACAGACACACACACATACACTCACAGACACACACACACACACTTACAGACACACACATATACACTCACAGACACACACACACACTTACATACACAAACACACACACACACTTACAGACACACACACATACACTCACAGACACACACACACACCCTCAGACACACACACATACATTCACACACACACACACACATACAAATTATTAATTTTTTATAAAAAAATGTCCACCCAGCCTCCCTACCTGGAGAGCTTGTGTGAACCTGTCCCTGGGGTCCAGTGGGTCGGGCGCCTGTCTCCAGATCAGACGCGGCATTTGGGGGCGCTGAGTGCCTGCAGGAACAGTGTTCCTGCTCCAAAAAAAGTGCAGGAACTCTGTTCCTGCAGGACTCAATACATAGCCGTGCCGCGGGGATTAGGGTGTGCCCAGGCACACCTGGCACACCCCGTGCGCACGCCTATGAACGAAATATTTACTAGTATATGGGATTGTCTAGAAGTCCCGGGGACTTTAAATTTTACTGTTTCCAGGGCATTTCAGTCTGACTTGGGAAACATACAGGTAACAAACGGATTGACACTACAAAGGAAAAGTAGGGGGGGAAATTAGGAGTTAAAACTTTCATTTAATAAAGATTCAGCTATGGAGTAATAAACTTAATGGGAACCTTTACCAACCACTACCAACCACTATTGCTGTGCGAAGAAACATCTTATAATTTATAGATTGATCCTGACTGGTCAATTTCCACATTGTGAAAAAAAAAAAACTGCTTGCAATTTAAGATTTTTAGTTTGTCAAATCATTGCCAATGGAGAAGGAAGTTGCACCTAAAACAGTATAAAATAATCACTGTTGTGACAATTAAAGAGACAAAGTATATGGTGAAGTTTTTAATATCCAGTTTCTGCCATTATGTAAAAGAATTCCTGAAGGTGAACTTTGAACCGGATCTTGCAGGATTGACAGTTCCCCTTCAGGAATTCTGAAGGTAGAAACCAGACTTTAAATCCTTCACCATCAACTGTTTTTCTCTTTAATTTTTACAAGGGTGAAGATTATTGTTTAATGTTTTAGGCACAACCTTTTCCATTTATTATCTGTCTTATTGGGATAAAGGGGTTCCCAACTAACAGGTTGTGTGTTGTCTGCTTCCCGTTAACAGTTACCTTAACTCTCCTTTCGATTTGTTTAACTCAAGTTTGATGGCTGAATAAGCTACAATTTCAGATTTCATCACAGATTTCATCAAGGTCACCCAGCTAAATTACAGGTTACACCATTCTGAAAGCCATCAAGTTGGGGTTTACACAGCATCGAAACTACCACTGGTGAAGATGGTGCCACTGCACCGGGGGCCGCATGCTCAGAGAGCCCATTGGGTGGTTCTTTAATTGCATGACCAGGTCCCTGTAATCTCTGTAGTCACTTCATATAACACAAAGGAAACAGGAAAAGGCAGAGAGAAGGGAGTGGGAGCGCCTCAGACTCCCAGCAGCTTGAGCCAGTCGACTGGACACCAGGGAACCCAACCTCCTGCACCAATAAAGTAAAAACAGTGGGTGGCTTAAAATGTGTAAATTTTCCTTGTGTGTCTGTCTGTAAATATCTGTGTGTGTGTATCTTTTTGTGTGTCTGTGTATCTATCTGTGTAACACATCTGTTTCTGTGTGTGGCTGTGTATGTGCATGTGTCTGTATATTTGTAATTGTAATCTGTATGAGTGTCATTGTGTTTATCTGTGTGTATGTGTATCTTTATGTGTGTCTGTGTATCTATCTGTGTATGTATATTTGTAATTGTATTTACCTGTGTGTTTGTATGTGTATCTGTGTGTCAATGTGTGTTTGTGTGTATGTGTATCAGTGTGTGTATCTGTGCATCTTTCTATCTATATGTGTGTCAGTGCAGTGGCGAATCCAGTGGGGGGGCAAACCGAGGAACACCTAGGGTCTCCCTTGCAGGGTCAGTGCAATCCAAGCGCCAGCCTTGCTATGGCACTTTACTGGGCAGCCATCAGGGGAGAGAGAGGACCGGGGAGCTCCAACCTGCAGCTCCTCGAGGTCCTCCTCTTGTGAGCATGGAGCATTAAAAAATATATTTGCTTTAAGCTACCCACACAGTAAGTCCCTACACATACATTCACACACACTGCAGTCCTCACTAAACACACACACACACACACACACTGTACCCCTCATACACACACACTGACACAAACCCACACTGTACCCCTAACACACACTGCCTCCCTCACAAACACTGCACACCTCAAATACACATACTGCCACACACACACACTGCACCCCTCACATGCATTGCATCTCTCACAGATACTTCACCCCTCACACAATGTACCCCTCACACACACTACTGCTCTATACCCTACTACAAGCCCTATACCTCACTACAGCCCCTATCCCGGCAGACCCCACGTAAGTTGTTAAACTGTTTTTAACTGGTTTGTCTACTTACTCTGGCAGGGCCCCATGGCACTCCTGGAACCATAACCCTACAGAGAGTTTTAATGGTTATTGTCCCTTTAAAAAATCTACCAATGCCCCTACCGAGATTATGTTCTGGGTCCTCCGCTGTGTCAGTGGGTGTCCTTGTTTCTGCATGTGTGTACCTGTGTATCTATATGTGTGTCAGTGTTTGTATCTGTCGAATACCAGTGTGTGTATCTGTGTGTCTGTGTAACTGCATGTGTCAGTGTGTTTATCTCTGTGTCTCTGTATCCAGATGTATGTCAGTGTGGTAGTGTATATGTAAATATACATACCCCCCTGCATTCAAACTTCAACGCTACACACAGACACACCCCTACATTCAAATACAAACACTATGCACAAGTAAACCACTTCTTGAAAGTGGCAACAATATATAAAAACTATACAAAGCACATACTCCATACAAAAACATGCTTACATTTAAACATACATACACTGCTCAATGCTAAATCAATGCTAAATACAAAATAAAACTATGGTTAAAGCTAAAAATACAAGTGCACTTGTCAGTACATTGTTTATTTTCCAGGTTAGCGTTTCTGGCAGTGTTGTATGCCTTAGTGGACTTTAAGCCAAGCCAAATTGAATAAACAAAATTTTGGCTGTTCTGTCTAATATGTTGCATAACTAGGAAAGATGTACGCAATCATTTAAGGCAGTGGTTCCCAACTCAGTCCTCAAGTAACCCCTTACAGTCCAGGATTTAAGTATTAACCAGTTGTGTTTATGGTGTTTTTAGACAAATAAAAAAAAAAAAAACTTTAGACACAGGGTAATCCCTAAATCATGGACTGGTAGGGGGTACTCGAGGACTGGGTTGGGAATCCCTGATTTAAGGGGATATATAGCAAAGCTTTAGATACTATGTACATTACAAAACACTTTCATAAATAAATATTTTAGTGCTTTACATTTTAGTCATAAAAAAAAACAACATATCTTCTAATCTAGGAATTGTTACTTTTTTGTTAATTTTCCATGTTTTTGTTATAAAAGAGAACAATAGGACTGCCAATCCCTCCTCCATCCACTACTTCCAGAGTTGAAGAAGGAAAAAAAGACTCTCTCTCTCTCTGGAGAAATGAAAAACAGTTTCAAAACAAACTAGAGTTTCCAAGAGTAAGTACAGCCAACAGGAGTTTAGGAGCCCAGTACTAAATTACAGAGCACACCAGTCTGGAAATAACCAGTTCTTCATTTAATGAACTAAATAAAGAATGCATTCAAATATGGTAAACAATTAATCCCATCTAATAAAAGATAACACAATTACTAAATTTTGGAATATTTCATATCAAGTTAAAAAAGAATAGACTGTAACCCGTCCTTGTTTTAACTTTCATTATCATCACCCCTCATTCCTGATTCCTCGACCCTTCATTTCCAATGATTTGCTGGGTGACACTGGCATTCTATACACACACCTGCTTTCTTGGTTACAACACAGGCACTACATTGACTCTGTGGCCTAGAGCTTGCCCTGTCGCAGTTGCAGGGTCAAAGTGATGTTTCATAACATTGAATCTACAATACTGTTGATTCCATGATTAGAGTTGATCGGACACCTTAATATTCGGGTTCCTCCGAACCTCGAAAAAAAGTCTGGGCGCGGGATCGTACTTGACCCCGAATTTGACCCCGAACCCCATTGAAGTCAATGGGGACCCGAACTTTTGGGCACTAAAATGGATCTAAAAAAGTCCTGGAAAGGGCTAGAGGGCTGCAAAAGGAAGTAAAATGGGAGTAAGAGTAGAACAAGTGCCCTGCAAACAAATGTGGATAGGGAAATAACTTAAAATAACTTAAAATAATATAAAATAAGCAGCCGCTTAGTAGATAACTTCCCAATTCCCACGGTATTAGGGAGCTTTCTACTAAAAGGCTGAAAGACCTAAATTGGACCTAAACCTGCGTGGCGGGTGGGGGCCCTACATAACAATGGGGGGGGACCTACTGTCCTCCCCCCCCCCGGCCCTAACCCCTCAGCGACAGGTGGGGGCCCTAAATTTAGAATAAGGGGGGGACCTACTGTCATCCCCCACCCCAGAGCAGCGGGGGGGCCCTAAATTTAGAATAAGGGGGGGGACCTATTGTCCTAACCCCCTCCTCCAACCCTTGCACGACAGGTGGGCTCCCCCCCCGGATCCCACCCTTGCGCAGTGGGTGAGGGCTCTGCATAACAATGAGGGTTGGACCTACTGTCCTCCCCCCCTTCTCCCACCCCTGAGCAGCAGGGGGGTCCCTAAATTTAGAATAAGGGGGGGGACCTATTGTCCTCCCCCTGGGTGGTGAGTGAGGACCCTAAATAAAAATGTAACCCCGCCATCACCCCGGCCCCACAAAAAATAACCCCTACCTACCCCCCTCATCCTAAAAATAATGAGGGGGGACCATAAGCTAAATACCTTTAAAAAAAAAAAAAACTTACCATTTCATGTCTTCTTTCTTCTAAAATCTTATTTTTCAGCCCCAGAAAAGGCCAAATAAAAATCCATAATAACCGATGCAAAAAAAATGAGGGCAAAAAAAAAAATTTCACACACGGAGGGCTCCACGCAGACTGAGCTCTGCAGGGCGGGGGAAAGCTTATAAAGCCTTGCTCCGCCCTGCAATTAGGCGCAGAGCACTCTGATTGGTGGATTTAAGCCATCCAATCAGAGTGCTCTGACAGGTAAATGAAGAGACTGATAGATACGTTTCTACATTTACCTATCACTAGGCATGTGCATGGGAAAATTTTTCGGTTTGGTTCGGCATTCCGAAATTCGGGACTTCGTGAATTCTGCACTTCGGCTATTTGGCACGGAGCCCTCTATGGATGAAAATGGATACATTTTTTTTGCGCTCTTTTTTTTTTTAAAGTGCGTCAGTTATGGCTTTTTATTTCGCCTTTTTTGGGGCAGAAAAAATAAGATTTTAGAAGAAAACATAAAATGGTAAGTTTTATTTTATTTTGTTTACAGGTACTTAGTTAAATGGTACCCCCTCATTATTTTTAGGGTGAGGGGGGTAGGTAGGGGTTAATTTTTTGGGGGAGGGGGGTGACTAGGGGTTTGGGGACCCCTAGTCACCTGGGGAGAGGGGGTTATTTTTTTTATTTAGGGCCTCCACCTGCCGCTCAGGGTTGGGGGCCAGGGGGAGGACATTAGGTCCCCCCCTTATTCTAATGTAGGGCCCCCACCCACCGCTTATGGGTGGGGGCCAGGGGGGAGGACATTAGGTCCCCCCAATTAGTATTCAGGGCCCCCACCCACTGCTCAGGGGTGGGGGCCAGGGGGAGGACATTAGGTCCCCCCCCTTATTCTAATGTAGGGCCCCCACCCACCGCTTATGGGTGGGGGCCAGGGGGGAGGACATTAGGTCCCCCCCAATTAGTATTCAGGGCCCCCACCCACTGCTCAGGGGTGGGGGCCAAGGGGGAGGACATTAGGTCCCCTCCAGTTAGTGTTTAGGGCCCCCACCCACCGCTCAGGGGTGGGGGCCAGTGGGAGGACATTAGGTCCCCCCCAATTAGTATTTAGGGCCCCCACCCACCGCTCAGGGTTGGGGGCCAGGGGGAGGACATTAGGTCCCCCCCTTATTGTAATGTAGGGCCCCCACCCACCGCTTATGGGTGGGGGCCAGGGGGGAGGACATTAGGTCCCCCCTTATTTTAATGTAGGGCCCCCACCCACCGCTTATGGGTGGGGGCCAGGGGGGAGGACATTAGGTCCCCCCCAATTAGTATTCAGGGCCCCCATCCACTGCTCAGGGGTGGGGGCCAATGGGGAGGACATTAGGTCCCCTCCAGTTAGTATTTAGGGCCCCCACCCACCGCTCAGGGGTGGGGGCCAGGGGGAGGACATTAGGTCCCCCCGAATTAGTATTTAGGGCCCCCACCCACCGCTCAGGGTTGGGGGCCCGGGGTAGGACATTAGGTCCCCCCCTTATTCTAATGTAGGGCCCCCACCCACCGCTTATGGGTGGGGGCCAGGGGGGAGGACATTAGGTCCCCCCCAATTAGTATTCAGGGCCCCAACCCACTGCTCAGGGGTGGGGGCCAAGGGGGAGGACATTAGGTCCCCTCCAGTTAGTGTTTAGAGCCCCCACCCACCGCTCAGGGGTGGGGGCCAGGGGGAGGACATTAGGTCCCCCCAATTAGTATTTAGGGCCCCCACCCACCGCTCAGGGTTGGGGGCCAGGGGGAGGACATTAGGTCCCCCCCTTATTCTAATGTAGGGCCCCCACCCACCGCTTATGGGTGGGGGCCAGGGGGGAGGACATTAGGTTCCCCCCAATTAGTATTCAGGGCCCCCACCCACTGCTCAGGGGTGGGGGCCAAGGGGGAGGACATTAGGTCCCCTCCAGTTAGTATTTAGGGCCCCCACCCACCGCTCAGGGGTGGGGGCCAGAGGGGAGGACATTAGGTCCTCCCCCCTCATTCTAATTTAGGGCCCCCACCCACCATTTAGGGGAGGGCAATAGGCCCCCTTCAGATTAGGAATAGGATTAGGAGTAGATAGCTCCCTAATACCGTGGGAATTAGGAAGTTATCTACTTATTCATTCCTGTCATTACATTGACTGGCCAAGTAACCTACATTTATATGAATGGTTGTTACTTGATTGTTGTAAGTGTTGCAAATGCTTACAGCTGTATCCTGGCTACGTTTGTATACTTTTTATTTAAAATCGTATACAGTGTAACATTCTTCTTCTTCCACTGGGTAAGTATATTAGTACTTAGGCAATACTGTGCTTCGGAACTCCGGCACTTTGGCAACCTCGGAACTTCGGCACTTCAGCACTTCGAAAAGTCGGCACTTCGATACTTCAGAAATTCTGTAATTTCGGAACTTCAGGACCTCGGTAATTCGGCAATTCGTCACTTTGGCTATTCGGACATTTGGAAGTACCCGAATGTCCGAATTGCCCGAAATTCGTCCGAATTCATATTTGGCCAGAAACTAATTGCACATGTCTATTGTTCACCCACAAGAATTTGCTTAGCCGAATTCTTTGTTTTTTTGCTATCTCTATAGCTATGTTTTTTTGATACCTCCTGTACCAAAATTCTATTAAATTATTGTAAAAAACAAAACGAATTGTAGAATTAGCAGGCAGCCTTGAAAGGTCTGTGAAATCACATTCTATTTTTAAGTTATACATAATCAAGCAACAGAAATTCAGCTAACTATTTAGGCTTAAAGCTATACAACTTTTTAAATTGTATTTCTGCTTCACATGTCCTTTTAAAGTGTAAATGTAGAGAAATAAAAACATGAAAAATAGATATGTTAACAGCAATATCACCAAATGTATAGAAAACCCTTTCAAAAATGTGGTCCTTCTCCCACCTGTCAATCAGTTATTGGCATAGTGGCCCATGCTGATGGCAGTGAAATGTTTTCCTGTTCTTCAACACAGCAACTATAGTTCAACCATCTTTGCTTCTGTGAATGATGTACCATCCATGATCCTTGTATCATGATGACACTTTACAGAAGGTAAGAAGTTGGTTTATAGCATACATGCAAATAACTTTTGGAGGGATTTGAGGTCATAGAAAGTCTGATATGGTGGGTTCATTTTAAAGGGACACTCTATGCTGAGGTGGATTCACAATGTTAATCCATTATATAGATAATACATTACAAGCAGGAAAAAAAATAATTCAAATTAAAAATAATAAATAAAAAATATGAACAGATATTCACCATGAGAAAGGCTCATGTCTAGCCTGCAAATCCTCAGGATTTGCTTTTTGTGCAGTAAGTATGTCACACCAGAACATTAGTCACCTTTATTTCTACAAAAGAAATGATAAAAAGCCACTCATCTCTGATCAGCATACAGGTGCCTGTATTGCCCACGTAAAGCAGTTGTGATTTATTTGAGTGTGAAAGATAGCTTATAAATGCAAATAGCTACAGTTATAAGTAACAGAAAAAAGAAAGACAGAGATTGATGACTTTCTTCCATTATATATAAAGCAATGGAACTTACTAGAGTGACTTGCATCCTTTCTATGTGGGCTGGGTGCAAGACAAGAGGTACTTGGTAATTGTGTGTGTACATATTGATTTTCTCACCCCTCCTGGGTGGTATATGTATTCCTGATTCTCGGATCCTCTGCCAGAGGCTTAGAACTGCACTCTTCTGGACAGCAATCTCCGATGTCCCACCTGGAATCTGTTGAAGCCACTCTCTGAACTTCTGGGTACTCCTATCACAACTGGGACTACTACTGCCTTAACTTTCCACATCCTTTCTAGCTCTTCTTTCAGTCCTTGGTATTCCTGTACCTCGTCATGTTCCTTCTTCCTGATGTAATAGTCACTGGGTATTGCCACGTCCACCACGACTGCAGTCTTCCGTTCCTTGTCAATCACCACGATGCCAGGTTGGTTTGCCAGTACTTACTTGTCTGTCTGGATCTAAAAGTCCCACAGGATCTTAACCCTGTCATTCTAACTACCTTTTGTGGTATCTCCCATCTGGACTCAGGCAGGTCCAAATATATGTATCAAATAAGGCAAGAAGACATAATCATATTAAAATTAATAAAGCATATTTATTTTAAGGGATTTTATATAAATGTATCTCACCACACAAGAACTTATTCAATTCTTACCTATGTAAGTTAGCAATATAAAATGTCCTATTTGAGGTAGTAATATTTGGAGGGTAAATGGAGAACACATATGCATTCTAATGGAAAAACATTTAGAAAAACAATCATGTACACAGAAAGCACATTAATTGCCACACAAATACTCACATTTACCCAAGAAATTGCACTGCACTTAGGGAAATATGCATATTCACTCACACATTGCACTCGGAGTAATCCACGAATGCATTATTTTATTCACCAAAGACCAAACTGCAGTGGGCAGCGAGCCAAATTGCAGCATTTATTCTAAAATAATTTAGCTTCTGCAATTTGATTTTTGATTCACTCTATTATGATGTTACAGTTTATTTATTCTCCTTTTTTTTTGCCTGATAATTTTAATCCAGATTAAACATTAAAGAGACAAAGAGATCCGATGGATGCTCATTTTAAATTACATATTTTATTAATATTATATTAAATTAAACATTGCTGGTTGTGGACTGTGTAGAAGTGTGCATATATCTACGTATACGCATACATATATTTACAAGTAGTGGAATGTAGGCAGGTGCACAGCTATAGTAGAACCAAGTGGACTCTTGATAGGAGGATACATACAGTTGCAGATAGTGAGCTCTAAATATGAGTTAAGATATAGTTACAAATATTGTTCATTAGGTTTCAAACGGCTGGGTTTCATATACGTGTGCATCTATAGTTGTAGTTTGTAGTTCATACATAGGATCATAGCTTTGATCTAATTTATATATATAAATAAAAATGCTCTAAAATGTCAGTTCAGTTTTCTATAGCAGAATATAGCAGATTCATTTGAACTCAAGCATTTGTCTAAAATTGAAATAAATAAATACATAAATAAATACATCTGTATGTTACCTTAAGCCGGATATATTTTAGGAGATTGAAGTTTTTGGCGTACATGCGGAAATATTCCATTATCTTGCTGTTGTGCATATAGTTTGGAAATTCATCTGGAATGGGATAATCACTGAAACACATCATTTCCTTGGAAGTGTTTATAATCACAGATTTATAGATACTGGCTCGGTCATCTTCTGGAGTCTCCTGTAGGTAAGATAAAACAAAAATAAAAAGATTAAATTGTATCCTTTCACTTTATTAAGTACTGTAACAATAGCCATTTTTGACTTGCCTTAAATCTCCACAAACCCCCAATATCATCACTGCTCTCAAAGCAGGTGGGTTCCAAATCTTCATCAAGGCAGCATTTGATAGCGGTCAATCCGCTGGAGCCAGCTCCTATCACACAAATCTTTTTCACCATGGTTTCAGGAAAAAATATCTGAAGAAAAAAAAAAAAAGTCTTATCAAAAGTGTATTTCTCAATTTATATGAATAAATATTATTTTCCTCTAACCATACCTGTACGCTCTACTTTTTGCAAAGATTATTATCTAGAGTGGAGAACTGCTGTAGAAAACGATGTGTGTACTGGCACAGCAAGCAAGCAAAAGAGAATGATCTTACTCTACTCTTGCATTCCAGTGATGCTGGTTGGAATATTGCCCTGATAATGTGCCTCGTGAACGTGCATGTGCCTGTGTGTCTATGGCAAAGTTCATATTTATATGCAAGGCAATGCTTTTGGAATAGGAGTACAATGTCCTTATTATATGTTTTCCTTGTCAGTAACTGGATGTAATTACTTTAAAGTTCATTTTACCTTAGAACAGGCTTCCCCAAGCTCCGACCCTCCAGATGTTGCTGAACTACAACTCCCATGATTCTCAGGCTATCTATTTCATTAATAGAATCATGGGAGTTGTAGTTCAGCAACATCTGGAGGACCGGAGTTTTGGGAAGCCTGCCTTAAAGGATATATATTAAAATAAAGCCAATATTAAAACAGAAAGAAAACAGTTTCATAAATGGGGAACAATGACATAAATACATATTCATCCCCCTTTGACATTGCCACATTTTGAAGTGCTATAACCTAGAATGAAAAAAGATTTTTACCATTTGTTTTACATATCATTTGTAGGTCTCTGAAAGCAAATCTGTCATTATGACACAAATTTGAAATAAGTAAATGTAATACTTACCAATTCCGAGGGTTGCCTCTCGCCATTCCATTATTCTATTCTTTGTGTTCCTGATATTTGACTTGTTTACCATTTACTCTGTTTTCTCCTACCTTTGACCTTGGCTGTTTCTCTGACTATTCCTTTCATTAAGTCCGGCCACTCTAAGACCCGGTAATATGGTTATTCATATATTTTCTTTAAATTAGGGTCTATGTGCTTAGATTCCCTTACACATATCATGACAGTAAATTGTTAAAGAAAAAACAGATATTTATTGGTTACATAAATGTTGCCCCTTATCCTAATGCTTAGAGGAACAAAAGATTACAAAGGGAATGAAGCAAATAAATATACATACAAGTGTATAATATATAAAGTGTATAATATATGTAAAGCGCTGCGGAATTTGACGGCGCTCTATAAATATCATAATAATATATATTTGGTCCTTCTCCCATGCTGCTCCATCTTCTTCTGGTGTTTGAATGGCCACAACTGTTTTATAGCCCCGCCTCCTCTAATCTACTAAGGGAGGCAAACGTGCTTGCGTTTTCGCGCCAATGACACCCACACACATTTTGGCATCACATGAGCAGAATTGACCAATCCTGACCTCTTTGGGCTATTTAAACTCATTTTAGCTTTTCATGTGTCGTGGTTTCCATTTTCTGGTTATACAAGAGCGCATTTATTGACTATTCTTATTTCTATTATCCTTGACCTTTGGCTTGTTTTATAATATTTGTCTCATTTCGTATCTCTGACCTTTGCTTGTATTAGACTATTCTGACTATTCAGACTATTTTGGCCTTAAGTCCGGCCACTCTAAGACACGGTAATAGGTATTTTTCATCTACATCTATTGACCCTCTATTTACTAACTTAAGCACTGCGTGGTCGGTCAATGTTTATCCTGACATTATATACATATATATAAAATCCAAAGCAGCTTGGCACTCTACTTACTAATAAAAAGAAAAAACAGAATTGCCTAGGTGCTACACGCGTTACAGATATATATGCATACAGGCAGGGGTGCACTCACAGGTCTTTAGAAAAAACGACAACTAGGTTATTAAAGTAAAAAAATCTTCATTACGGGGGCGGAGCCAAGCAGCCGAGCCAAACATCCGCATGACAAAAGAGCTCCGGCATTTTCGGCCCCAAAATCATCTTTTGCACACAATTGCACCCGTTTTGGGCTCCTTTCAAGGTCCAAGGGTGATAATACAACAAGATGGGGCGCAAGACCAAGAAAATAAAACCCGAAAAACCGAGGCAGGGACCTAACATTGCGGATCTTCTGCAACAGACACGCAAGACCACTAGGCCCAAGATGGCCGCCTACCCGGGAAAACTATTCCGACTTATCAGACGATTTCTCCTCAGGGGACGATACAGCAAACTTAACACCCATGCAGCGACCTACCCCAGCCGTCCAAAAGACGGATGCCTCACCGGTAACTACGGAGGTACTGACGGCGCTCCTCGCGGACCTCCAAGAGAACATCCATGCAGACGTTGCCTCACTCCGCAACGACATACACGGCCTGACAGGCCGCATGGGAGCATTAGAGACTGCCTCCAACGTCTGCTCAGACCAACTTGCCTCACTACAACAAGAGGTTCAAGGTTTGCAGAAACTGAACGTCGAACATGAACGCCGTTTTACGGCGTTAGAGGATGCACGCCGGGCTAATAACATTAAGGTACGGGGCATCCCGGAGATTACCCCACAGGCCGAACTACCGCACCTCCTGAGGCGCCTACTAGCGGCCCTACTATCACCACGGCAGGCAAAAGCACTCACTGTGGATGGTTTCTTCCGGGCACCAAAGCCGGCCTCGGCTCCAGCGACTGCGCCACGGGACCTGATCGTTCCAGCAATATTCAGCCAAAACTGCTGTCCTGGCAGCGACCAGAAACTACTCCCCCTACAAATTCGAAACAATGTAACTATCTTTTTACACGGACCTCACAGGGGGCACCTTGGCATGGAGAAGGTCGCTCAGACCACTCACGACACTTCTGCAGAAACGTGGACTAAAATATAAATGGCACCAGACCCACAAATTGATGTTCCTACATGAAGATACAACATACGAAGTGCGAGACCTCCGGGAAGCCACAGCGCTACTCCCCACACTGGGACTCCCTCAGGACGCTCTCAATGGAGCTGTGACTCAAGGTACAACCAAACCGACACACAGGTGGAACCCCGAAAGTGTGACACCCTTCGTCCCTCGCGGTCCCACGGTTGACCTGATCGGGAATGTGACTACCTGAAACATGTCAGACACTGAACCGTGATATGCTGGACTTAATTGTTCAATTGTTACATATATTTACATGTTTTACAGCCACGGTTAAGTTATTAGGCTGCTAAAGTTAATTGCCTGCTGGCCACACTCCTTTAATAGGAAGGTCTACTTTGCTTCCCCCCCCCGCCCAACCCTAGCCTAGCATACCTATAGACCACAAATCTGCCATAGCCGGGCGTAATTACTACTAGATTTAGGCATAACACGCCCCACAAGAAAAATCCTGGCAGCATTTCAACGGCGACTAAACGCCAGTAACGCTCCTCACGATAGCTATACCAACCAGGATGAAACAATACATTGTGTGTTTATCCCCAGTAGGGCCATGGTACCTCGTTATTTTATTTTATTTTATTATATTTTTAGTTCACCAGGGAACAGTAAAAGCAATCACAAAATTTGCATATGTACACTTCTGTAAATTAGCGCTATCTCGCACAGAATATAGCCTCAAACGTTCCCTACGAGCCTTCTAGCAGGTCACTTTTATGACAAATATATGAAAATGCTTGCCTAGACTGGAATGTATCTTTTAGTCTTCTCTATATAAAACAAAAAATGTGCCTAGCTTATAACACCACATATTTATAATCCTTTGTTTTATGATCTGTGTACGACAACCATTGTGGTTATGCACACTTGACTGTTATGCTCATGTACGACCAGTGGCGTACACATGGCCCATTGGGCCCCGGTGTGAAAATTGATCCGTGGGCCCCCCCCCCCCCGCGCGCCACAACACATGGCGGTGGGCACCTGGTCGCAGGGGTTACAGGGCTGCGACCCCTGCGACCGCGGTATGTACGCCAGTGCATGTAGATGCACACACACTTAAAGGACCAGTCTAGGCACCCAGACCACTTCAGCTTAATGAAGTGGTCTGGGTGCCAGGTCCAGCTAGGGTTAACCCATTTTTTTCATAAACATAGCAGTTTCAGAGAAATAGGGGAATATTTCCTCTAGCGGCTGTCTCATTGACAGCCATTAGAGGCACTTGCGTGCTTCTCACTGTGATTTTCACAGTGAGAGCACGCCTGCATCCATAGGAAAGCATTATGAATGCTTTCCTATGTGACCGGCTGAATGCGCGCGCAGCTCTTGCCGCGCGTGCGCATACAGCTGTCGGGGAGGAGAAGAGGAGGATCGGAGGAGGAGAGCTCTCCGCCCAGCGCTGGAAAAAGGTAATTTTTACCCCTTTTCCCCTTTCCAGAGCTGGGCGGGAGGGGGTCTCTGAGGGTGGGGGCACCCTCAGGGCACTATAGTGCCAGGAAAACGAGTATGTTTTCCTGGCACTATAGTGGTTCTTTAACCCCTTAAGGACACATGACATGTGTGACATGTCATGATTCCCTTTTATTCCAGAAGTTTGGTCCTTAAGGGGTTAAAGGACCACTACAGACACCCAGATCACATCAGCTCAATGAAGTTGTCTGGGTGTCAGGTCCCTCTAGTTTTAACCCTGCAGCTGAAAACATAGCAGTTTCAGAGAAACTGCTATGTTTCACTGAGGGTTAATCCAGCCTCTAGTGGCTGTCTCACTGACAGCCGCTAGAGGAGCACACTGAACGTCCATAGGAAAGCATTGAGTAATGCTTTCCTATGGGCGGTTTGAATGCGTGCGCGGTCGCATTCGGAGCTGAGAGGTTGAGGGATCCCCAGCGCCAAGGGAGTCCGGCGCTGGAGAAAGGTAAGTGCTGAAGACACACACACACACACACACACACTTACAGACGCATACACACTAGCTAACAGACACACACATTTACTGACAGAGACACAGTCAGCGACAGACATACATACACACTCACAAAAACATACACTCTTATTGACAAACACACACTCACTAACAGACATCAAACAGACTCACTAACACACACACTCAGTAAGACACACACAGTAACACACTCACTGACACTCACTAGCAGACACACACACTAACACTCACACTCACTCTAACACTAACACTCACTAGCAGACACACACACTAACACTCACTCTAACACTCACACACACTGACACTCACACTAACACTCACTAGCAGACACACACACTAACACTCACTCTAACACTCACACACACTAACACTCACACTAACACACACTAACACACTAACACTC